CACTCCCTCTCATGACCTTGTTTGCTGTGGTCTGTTTTGAAATGCTGTTTCTGAGTTTGCCTTTCCCCACCAGATGGTGATCCCCAGCAGGGAGGGCTGAGCAAGGACTTTATAATTTATTTCTGGTTTCATAGTTGAGAAGTCACAAAGCCTGACACTCGAAGGTTCTTAGGCAATGTCTGTGGAGTAAAAGTTATGCCTGCTGAATTCCTTCAGTATTCTTTGGTGTTTAGAGTGGTTTACAGGGAGCTGTGGTGGCATAGTAGATAAGGCATTTGGCTGCTAACCAGAAAGTTAGTGGTTCAAACCCACCAGCCGCTCCAGGGAAGGAAGATGAAGCAATCTACTGTCATAAAGATTTACCACCTGGGAAACCCAATGGGGGTGCTATGAGTTGGAATCGACTCAATGGCAGTGAGTTTGGTTTGGTTTAGAGTGATTTACATGTATGAACTCTTTAAGTCTCACAATAGCCCAACAGTTATTATCATCACCCTTATTCACACATTAGGAAACCCAGGCAGGGAGATGTTAAGTAACTTGCAAGGTCACACAGGTGGGAAGTGGCAGGATTTGTCACGGCACTAAAGCACTAAACAGCCTCCAGGCAAAGGCATGAATTCTCTTGATTGAGACTTGTGGGAGGTTAATTGCTTCAACTGGGTGATGGGATTTCTTCCCAAAGAAAGTGGCTAACCCTGCTATTATTTGAAAATAACCAAGTGGCTACTTTGAATAGCCTGAATCTAGTTTTATGAAGCACTAATGGAACCTTCTCATGTGGCCTTGCCTGTGGCTCCTCCTGCCTGGAGGAGGGATGGTGACCTTGGTCTCACTGGCTTCCCTGAGACTTCATGGGCTACATGCAAGATGTCCTTGAGATCCTTGTCTGGAAATTGAGTCTGAGGACAGTGTCTGCCTCGGAGCCTCAGGTGGGGTTCAGATGAGGTCCAGGTGGATAGGGCTTTGGCCATTGTCAAGTGCAGGGCAGCCGTGCTTTTGGATATTGCTGTTGTTGGTTTTATGCCTGTTGCAGTACAAGATAAGAGGATGGAAGTAACGGGCAGATGATTGGCTGGTAAATATTCAGCAATATTTGTTGTGCCCGCTCTGGGCCAGGCCTCTTCCCAGGATAGCATCTTGTGCTAGATTGCACCCTCCCTTGACCCACTACTTTTTTTCTTTTTAAGGTGGTTTAAGGAATGAGCTTGGGAGCTCTGGTAGTGCAGTGCCTAAGGCACTTGACTGCTAACCAGAAGTCTGGCAGTTCAAATCCACCAGCCACTCCTGGGAAGGAAGATGGGGCAATCTACTTCCATAGTGATACTGCCTCGGAAACCCAAGGAGGGGTCGCTGTGAGCCGGGTCTGACTCGACAGCATTTAACAACAACAACAAGGAATGAGCTCAGAGACAACCAGACGTGGGTCCCAGGGCACAAGAACATGGTGAATGTAGCTTGGACTCTGGAGTTAGACGGCCTGAGTTCGCGTCTTGGCTGCACCGCTGACAGCTTCCCCCCTTGAGTTCTAGTTCAGGCTCTGTGTTCACTGGCTTGGCCTTGCAGAGGGCACTTTCTTTTTAGTGTCTTAATTTCCTCATCCGTAAAATGGAGAGCTTGGACCCACTACTTCTCAAAGCTTTTCCATCCCAAACTCCGACAGGCCCTCTTAAGTTCTCTGGTTAGAACTTTCCATTTTAACAAACAAAAATGAAACCTGAATTTTGAAAACTCTGGGTTATCTCTCTGACTCTCTCCCCACCCAATCCTTCCTCACTTTCAGGGGAAACTCAGTGAGGTCCGTGGTTGCTAGGGGAGGTGGTATCTGCAGGGAGACCTTTGCTCTACAGGAGCACACATTTTCCATTGCAGGGGTTTCCACCCAGCTAAAAGAGGGAGTGTTGAACCTGTACCAGGTGGGTAACCAGGAGGTCTGGTTAAAATGCAGAATTGGCAAAGAGGCCTCAGGGCCAGTTGCAGGAGTCTCAAGAATGTGCGCTTATCTTTGTGCTCGGTTTCCATTCCTGTGAAATAGAAACAATGTGTTGAGGAAATGATGGTGAGCAGAGTACTGAATGGCATGCTTGGCATTTACTTCTGCTGTCCCCACAGTGTGAGCTCTGGTGGCGTAGTGCCTAAGGCATATGACTGCTAACCAGAAGGCTGGCGGTTCAAACCCACCAGCCCCTCCTTGGAAGGAAAACTGGACAATCTACCTCTGTAGAGATACTGCCTCAGAAACCCAAGGAGGGATTGCTATGAGTTAGATCCAACTCAACGGCAGTGAGTTTGGGATTTTGTTTTATCCCCGTATTATCTGTGCCAGACTTTCATATCCCCATTTTACAGATGAGGACCACAAGGCTCAGGGAGTTAAGTACCTTGAGAGTAGATGTTGCTGAGCTTGTAAGCGGGAATTCATGTCAAAGCTTTTTGACTCTAAAGTCCATGGTCTTTTCGTAATACTTTTTGGCTTTCCAGCCTTGGCATGTAGCACAGGGCAGGTGTGTGATCATTGCAGATTCTTGGTTGTGAGAGGAACTTACAGTCAAGGCTGGCAAGTTGTGTAGTCACAGAGGGCCTTGTCCTTAGAAAGTCCCTACTCTGGTTACTAGTACAGCTCTGACGTGAATATACCACAAATGGGATGGCTTGAACAAACAGGAGTTTATTCTCTTACAGTTCGGGAGGCTAGAAGTCCGAGTTCAAAGTGCCAGGCTCTAGGGGCTGGGTGAAAGCCCCTCAACCTTGGGGTCCAACTCTGCCCCTGCTCCCGGCCCACTGGAGCTAGAGGCTTTTCTTCACTCAGACAGCTGCTGGCTGCTGAGGCTGACAAGCCCAAGGTCGACAAGTAAAAAGGCACAATCCTGATGTTACCAAAACACACGGCAGGCCATTAATTTAAGTCCATTGTAAGTCCCAAGGTTGGCAGAGCATAGCAGGCTACTGAACAACGACACAGCTACATGCAGGGTCCAAGCGTGCCATAAACTAGAGACCATTCTCCAAGGCTTCTTTCTGCTTATATACAGGAAGCAGACCACATTCCCTAAGGCAGCTTCTCAGCTGTTCACAGTAGATTCCACCATGGAGTTGATTGCCAGTCTTATCATGGGGAATACTACATCCAGCTGCCCAGCCACTCAACCAGGCCCAGCCAAGTTGGCACACACTACTACGGTTCCCAAGCTTGGTTTCATGCTCTGTTGTTGCTGTCTTGAAATTCTTAATAATTTTGAACAAGGGGTCCTGCATTTTCCTTTTGCACTGAGCCCTGCAAATCATGTAGCTAGAGCTACTTAAAGTACTGAGAGGAGGTGGATGGTGGTGAGGGATTGAGGGTTTGTTAACATTTTTTTAGGTGCCTGAGCTGTAGTGGCCAGCCTTGGGCCATCTCAGAATCAAGCAGATGTCGGCTGCCTGGAAACACTTCAAGTCTCTACCAGCACTGTTCACAGTGGTAGCAAGAGATGATTTCTGTGGGCTTTTCATCAAGACAATTAGCAGGGCTGGTGTGGCACCCCAGGGGACTTAGCCAGGATTTTCCTTGGTGAGGAGTTAGTCCTAGGCCCCCAGCTGGATACATAACAGAGGGGAAGTTATGCAGGTTACAGCCAGGGTGTGTGCCACCAGAGACTCAATTTCATCCAAGAGACATCCACCAACAGTGTCACTACTTTTACTGGCAGAAAGCGATAGCATTAGTTTCCTATAGGTGCTGTAACAAAGTGCTATAACTGACATTTATTATCTCATTGTTTAAGACTGGAAGTTTAAGATCAAGGGGTTAGAAGGCCATACTCTCTGAAGGCTCTAGGGGAGAGTCCTTCATTGCCTCTTTCTAGCTCTCATGGTTCGTGACAATCCTTGGCTTGTAGATCATTTTCGTCTCTGTCTTCATCTTCACATGGCCTTTTTGTCTGTGTGTCTTTTTTTCATATAAGGATACTGTCATATCGGATCAAGGCCCACTTAGCCCCAACGTGACCATGTGTTAACGGATAAAATCTTCAAAGACCTATTTCCAAACAAGGGCACATTCACAGGTATTGGGGGTTAGGACTTCAGCATATCTTTTTTTGGGGGGATAAGGCTGGCAAGGGGTGATACCCACTGTGATTCTCAGTGATCTGGCTTTGGAGTCTTTGGAAGCTTCTGGAGACAGCGTTACACCCCTTCACCATCTGCTTACAGACAGCAGGCACTGAATGTTTCTGTTTTAGTGTTGGCCACGTGGAAGCTCAAAACCAAATGCTTGGTTCAGGAATGGCAGCTGGGTCAAACCTCAGAGCAACAATAGCTAATGTTATGGAGTGTGTGTTTTGCTTCAGATGCTGTTTTTGCATTTTGTACGTATTATCATACTGATTGTTTTGCAACACTGTGGGAACGTACTATGATTTTAAGATGAGGAAGCTGAATCTCTGTGAGGTTAAACCACTTGTCCAAGTTTACACAACTAGTTGGTGGTAGGGCTGGGATTTAAGCCCATTATTCTGACTCTCCAGTACATGTTCTTAACCATAACCCTCTACTGTCTTAATATCTATGTTTTTGTTTTCCATGGTTATGATTTTTTTTGTTGTTTTTGTAATTTGCACTGCTTTATGGAAAATGATTTGAGATCCTTTGTGTAAACAAGGCTCCCCGTAAGGAATGTCCTGTACCTAGTTCCCTGGGGTACCCCTCATAAGAGACAGAGATTCTAGTTGCTGGGAGTGGGCTCTGGTTAGCACTTGAGCGCCCTGTGGGCCCCGGACATGACTGAGCCGGAGGATACCCAAGACCAGACGGAAGTTCTCAGTCAAGGCCTTGGAGGGTTTTACTTCCTCATCATTTCGTGTAAGCATTTTCCTCAACATGATCAGAAAGACCAAAATCGGTCAAAAGGCTTCCTTTAGCTCTCCCTGGTCCTGTGGTGACTTTGGCTTCAAGAGTCAGAAGCCCAGCCTGTCCAGGCCCGGACCTGACATTCTTTTTGTGCTATTTCTGAAGGCGAGTGAAGCTGAGTCGGCTGCACCAGAATGAACCGCAACTCCAGGAAGGGGAAGTAGAAGCCCAGCTCCCTCCCTGCCATGTCCTGTGAACCCCAGGCGGACCCTGGGGGGACGGCCAGCCCATTGCCCACCTCCTCCCCTGGCTGGAGTGCCCTGCCTGCAGGGAGCCCTCCTGGCTGGGGGCAAGGTAAGATCATGACGCTTGGCTTGTGCGGAATGTTGAGTTGGACTCTTACAGAATGACCGGTGGTAGGGTTATAGAAGTGCCTTTAGGTAAGAGTGGGCATTTTGGGATGCATTTCCGGGACACCCCAGTTTCTCATTTCTACCTAATTCTCTGCGGTCATCTCCTTTGAGCTGTTGTCACCGTCTGCTTGGATCCCTGCTGTACCTTCCCAGCTGGACTCACCGTGTCCAGTCTTGGCCCCTCCATCCATGCTCTACATGACAGCACATGTGACCAGGCCACTTTCTGCTTCAGTGTTTCCAACTGGGCTGCTAATAAAGAGCCACTCTGCCAGCTTATAAGTCCTACTGAATGGCCCCTGCTGCCCTGTTCCTCATCATGTCCTACCATAGGACCTTTGCACGTGCTTTTCCTTCTGCTTGGCATGCTCTCTTCCTGCCGCTATTCCTTCTTTCACCTGCGTAATTTCCATTTATCTTTTAAAACTCAGCTCATATAGCCCTCCTATATGCAATCCTTTCTTGAGGGCCCAGTGCAAAAAGGGTCTGGTAGCAATCATAGTAATAGTGTCAGAACCTCTCTAACTGAGATAATGTGAGTCAAGGTTAGCCCAAGGCTAATCCGTATGAGATGGAGGTCAGACACACCTCCACTTTCTAACCTTTTTACCAATTCTGACACCAGCTGTCCCTCCCATGGCACTCTCTACTTCCCTTCCGGGTTCAATAATCTGTGGCAAATGCCAAAAGGAACTCACAGACCATACTTAGAACTAAGTGGTTTACTAAGTATAACTTGGGATCAGGATCAGGATCAGGAAGCATGTAGACAGAGTCTCCCTTCTTCAGTACAGGAGAGCTCTCTCAGCTCCTCTCAACTGTGTAGATGACCTCTCTGCTCACTGAAGACAGACCTTCTCTAGACCCGCAAGGACAGGCTTCTTTTGGCCCTGTTGTCTATCACCCTAAACTCTGCTGCGGGACCCCTTCTGGGTCTTTGGCTGTCTTCAGTGTTACAACCTTTGACCTGTGTTACAGCTCTTCTAAGGGGTTCTCTGCCTCCTCGCTGCTGCTGCTGCTTTCTTCTCTTTCTGCTTCTGTTTCTTTTTCTGCCACTTCTTGTCTTAAAATTAAATCTCTGTGGGGCTGGCTGCTTAAATACACAACTCCTTGTCAATTTCAAGGCATGGTCTTGCCCAGCAGGGAGCCACAAACTGACCAATCCCTAGACCACAGACACTTCATTTGAATAGTAGGCTATAGTCACCTCATTTGCATAGTTTGTTAACCAATTTCCAATCGCCTGGTATGCATGTGAGATCTGGACAATGAATAGGGAAGACCAAAGAAGAGTTGATGCTTTTGAGTTGTGGTGCTGGCGAAGAATGCTGAAAGTACCATGGACTGCTAAGAGAACTAACAGATCTGTCCTGGAGGAAGTGCAGCCAGAATGCTCCTTGGAAGCAAGAATGGCCAGACTTCGTCTCACCTATTTTGGTCATGTTGTCAGAAGGGACCATTCCCTGGAGAAGGATGTCATGCTTGGTAGGGTGGAGGGTCGACGAAAGAGGGGGAGGCCTTCAGGGAGATGGATTGATACAGTGGCTGTGATGATGGGCTCGAGTATAGCGGGGATTGTGGGGCTGGCGCGGGATCGGGCAGTGTTTCGTTCTGCTGTGCACGGGGTCGCTATGAGTCGGAAACGACTCGATGGCACTTAACAACAACAACAACAACATTAACCAATGTGGCAAGGTGCATACCAATCACATGGCAGGCTGCAGCCCAGGGCCAAACAAAAAGCATCAAACCAAGTTGTTTATAGCTTAACTAGGAAATGTCCATCAACCTGGACAAAAATAACAAACCCTCAGGGGTAGAAAGAGAACTCCTCAGGGTTTAGGGCAAAAATCTCAAGCTGTTTTTCCGAGGCACAAGGCCACATAAAGGAACTCATTGCACCACAACCAGCCTAAGTCAGGTCCCTCTGATATATCCCTACTTTTCCACATAGCACTTACATTGTCTGTAATGAAATCATTACTTGAGTAATAAAGTGTCAAATGTCTGCCTTTTCCACTAGAATGTAAGTTCTGTGAGGGCAGAGGCTCTGTGTTTGTCTTATTTAGCTCTATTTGTAGTATCTAGCACAGGATTTGATCCATAGTAAAAGCCAAACCCACTGCCACTGAGTCGATTCTAACTCCTAGTGGTCCTATAGGACACAGTAGGGCTGCCCCAGAGGATTTCCAAGGCTGTAAATTTTTACAGATGCAGGCTACTTCATGTTTCTCCCATGGAAGGGCTGGTGGATTCAAACTGCTGACCTTTTGGTTAGGAACCGTATGCTTTAACCACTATGCCACCAGAGCTCCTGGTCCATGTTGTTGTTGTTTTTATGTGCCGTTGAGTCGACCCCGACTCATAGCGACCCCTCCTTGGGTTTCCGAGGCAGTATCACTACGGAAGTAGGATTGCCCAACCTTTCTTCCGAGGAGTGGCTGGTGGGTTTGAACCGCCAGCCTTCTGGTTAGCAGTCAAGTGCTTTAGCCACTATGCTACCTGGTCCATAGTAGTGCTCAATAATTATTTTCATGAGTGAATGAATGAGTGCCTTGGGACAGGCAAGGGGAAAGACCACTGTGAATTGTTGGATCTATGGAAAGGTGGCTGGTTACTTACAGGATTCGAAACTGGACTACTTAAAAACAAGCCTTTTTTAATTATTTTTTTTTAAATACTACCGTTATTAAGAAAGCAATTTATGCACACAATAATAAATTCTAATAGTAGAATGGAATGAAATAATTTTCCTTCAGAACTTTGAAGACATTGCTGTACTCGTTTTAGCAAGCCAGTTCTTGCTCCTCTGTAGGAGAGTACTTCCCCCACGCCCCCACTTCTTCAGTAGCTGTTAGGATCCCTTTTTTTTTTTCACCCTAAGGAGCTCTGGTGGCGTAGCTCATTAGGCATTTGGCTGCTAACCAGAAGGTCGGTAGTTAAAACCCATCAGCTGCTCCGTGGGAGGAAGATGAGGCAACCTACTTCTGTAAAGATTTACTGCCTTGGAAACTCAGTGGGGGTCGCTATGAGTGGTAATGGACTTGATGGCAGTGGGTTTTTTTTCACCTAACTTTAAGGAACAGATGAGAAGCACTATTGCCAGGAATCCAGGAACTCGTGGCTAGAGAGGCAAACAGAGATACTGTGAAAGGTCTCTGCATTGCTCAGGCAATTACTCAACATGCAAAGAGCCAAGCTGGGGACCTAGTATAAATTCTCTACTTCTGGAGTCCACATCAGTGTGGCTTTTTGTTTGATGCTGTGAAATGGGGAGTGTACTAGTTTCCTAGGACTGCCATAACAACATAACACAAATTCAGTGGTTTCGAAGAACAGAAACATACTGTCTCAGAGTTTTAGAGGCTATAAGTCCAAATCAACTTGTCGACCACGTGCTACTTCTAAAGTCTCTTGGGTAAGATCCTGTCCTAGCTTCTGGTAGCCCCAGGCATTCCTTGGCTTGCAGTTGAATCTCCACACACCCACATCCTTTTCTGTACAGGGTGTGCTTTGTACTAATGACTTGTGAGATATGAAGCAGGCAGAAAGGTGGGGAAGGTAGACGTTCCCTGGAGATCGCCAAGGAAAGCCGAGAAGAATGCTGGAGAAGCTGAGATGGTGTTCTACGGCAGACACAGAGAGCCTCTCCCTGCTAGTCTCCTAATCTGTGAGAAAATAAATTTCTGTTTGTTAAAACCACCCACTTAAGCTAGGAGCCAATTATGAATAGGATTTAACTGGGTGAGGTTAGGAGCAGGTGTTCCAGAGAGAATGAACAGTATATGCAAAGGCCCTTTCTCTGTATCTGTGTCTCTATGTCTCTTCTCTCTTATGACAACATCACAAGGAATGGATAAGGACCCACCCTACTTTGTATAACCTCCTGCTAACTTAATTGATAACATTTTCAAAGACCCTATTTCCAAATAAGGCCATTTTCACAGGTACCAGCCTAAGGACTTCAACACGTCTTTTCTGGCGGGGGCATAGTTCAGCCCATGACAGAGCACTAGTCTGTGGTCCTGTCTGGCTGTGCTGCCTATATTTTGTACACTGCTTTCCCTCCTTGCTTCTTGCTTACTTTCATTTCCTCTGTTCACATTAGGCAACTTCCTTACCCTTTAAGAAGCTCAGTTTCCTCTTCCACAGTAATGATACTCGACTTTCAGGGCTGTTGAAAGACTGAAATCATGACTGGGAAGCCTCTTCACGCAGTGCCTGGTACCCTGTAAGGGCTCAATGTGCGGAAGCTGTTAATTATCTACCATCTTTTTCTTTTTTGTCTAGTTTTCTTTATCTGCTTACTTTAAAATTTGATTTTACAATTTCACCATTTTGTATTTTATTTCCAAGAAGCTACATTAATTTTTTTCTGGAACAAGGCATTATTGTTATTGTTGTTAGGTGCCATTTAGTTGGCTCAAACTCATGGCGGCCCTGTGCACAACAGAACGAAACACAGCCCGGTCACGCACCAGCCTCACAGTCCTCGCTATACTTGAGCCCATCATTGCAGCCACTGTTTCGATCCATCTTGTTGAGGGTCTTACCTTTTTTTGCTGATGCTCTTCTTTACCAAGCATGAGTGAGATCTTTCTCCAGGGAGTGGTCCCTTCTAACAACATGAGCAAGGTAGGTGGGACAAAGTCTGGCCATTCTTACTTCCAAGGAGCATTCTGGCTGCACTTCTTCCGGGACAGATTTGTTCATTCTTCTGGCAGTCTGTGGTATTTTCAGTGTTGTTCAGCAATGCCATAATTCAAAGGCATCAACTTTTCTTCGCTTTTCGCTCTTCCAGCTCTCACATGCATTTGAGGTGATTGAAAATACCATGACTTGGGTCAAGCGCACCTTAGTCTTCAAAGTGACATCTTTGCTTCTTAACATTTTAAAGAGGTCTTGCAGCAGATTGGCTCAGTGCAATACAGTGTCCAATTT